TGGTCGGGACTGTCTTGTTTTAGCACATCCGGGCTTGTATTATAAGGGCATCGTTTTTGTTCTTAGGATACGTTTGGGTTCTAAGAACAGGTCGTGGTAGGCCTATAGGAATGTCGGACGGTGAGCTCCTGCTCAGAGAGAGCGGCTCGGGATGAACAGCTGGTCTCGCCGAAGGGCCCTGGGGTCCAGGACCCGTTTCCCTCCAGACCTGCCTGTTCAGCCTGTTTCATGCCATGGGATGTCCCGGGCTCCTTTGTTCTGATTCGCGATCGGATGGGCTTTCCTCCTGGCTTGTCCTTGCGGCCCCCGCAGAAACTTCAGGAGGGGAAGAAACACACAGACACAATGAATCGCCGATTCCAAGGAAAATGTTGGAAAGGATGGTAAGTGGGGGGGGAGACGACAACCCAGAACATATGTGAAAATATCGGGAATCCTGGTATGTGTGTATTTCTGCGTGTGTTCATGTGTGTCCTTGGGCCTCTTTCGGGTAAGCAACAGAGGGGGGGCTTCTCTCCCGAGGAAGGATCCCCACGGCGAGACCTCGACTGCAGGCGCGGGAGAGGAAGAGGCGAGGGTAGTAGAGCGGGCCCAGAGCACGCAGACCAGCGGGGGAGGTAACGCAAGGGAGGGGCCAGGCTTGGCACAAAGGGGCCGGAGTAGATAGGGTCGCCGCGTCGCCGATGCGCGTCGCCGATGCATCGGCGGTGCGGCTCGATGTGAGACCGGTTTTCTCCGCGCCGACCCTTTGCCGACGCTTCGCCGACGGGTCGGCGATGGAGCGGCAATGCGGCGCGATCTCCTCCGAGCCCAGCTGCTCGGATGTCCTCTCAGGGCGTCTGGGCCGACGAGGGCCGTGGGCCAAGCCTGCCGGGGGGGCCAGAGGCCAAGAGAGGAGCTCGGCACCCACTGCCGGCCCTCCTTCCTGCCCCCAGGGCGGCCCCCGCGCAGACCCGCCGCAATTGGGCCAGCTGTGGTCCTTGCCCCCCCGGGGGGGGGGGGGGGCGATCGGTTTCGACACCCCCTCCGAGGGATCGTCGATATGATGGGTTCCCACTGTGGGTTATAGGAGCACGCCTCCCCCCATGGAGGCTGTGGTGGGCAGCGCCGCCCCTGGCCGAGCCAGATCAGCCGCGCCCTGTTTCTGTTTCTGTGCGTGGGGCTTCCGGGGGCGGAAGGAGGAGGGAGGAGGAGGAAGAGGAGGAGGAGGAGGAGGAGGAGGAGGAGGAGGAGGAGGAGGAGGAGGAGGAGGAGGAGGAGGAGGAGGAGGAGGAGGAGGAGGAGGAAGGGAGGAGGGGGGAGGGGGAGGAGGGGGAGGAGGAGGAGGGGACGAGGAGGAGGAGGAGGAGGAGGAGGAGGAGGAGGAGGAGGAGGACCTCGCCCCACGGGCCGCTTTCTGCGGGCCCGCGGGGTCCCGCAGCGGCACCCCGGGGGGGGCCCAAGTTCCGAGACGCTGGTTTCGTGTGTGCGCGTGCGGGGGAACGGTCCACGCCACCGGTCGGAAGCAACACCGGCGTGTCCCCGTGAGCTATTGATTTATCGCGACCGTGGTGTCGCATCGTTGGCGGATCAAAAAAGTGCATGCGTGTATATGTGTGTGTGTGTGTGTTTGTGTGTAGGTGTGTGTGTGTGTGTGTTTGTGTGTGTGTGTGTTTTTTTTTGTTTGTGTGTGTGTTTGTGTGTAGGTATGTGTGTGTGGGGGGGTGGTAAAACTGTGTGTGCGTACCACCTCGTTTTGCTGCGCTGCATCGCCATCACCAGCATCATCATCATCCTCATCATCATCATCATCATCATCATCATCATCATCATCATCATCATCGGCATCAATTGATAAAGTCGTGCGCGTGTGTACATGCGTGTTTTCATAGTATCACGAAGTGTGTTATCATATCATCGCTGTCGCGACCCAAGCATCCCAAGAGATGTGCGATCTGGTGGCAAACAATCCGTGCGTTGAATCCATCAACGTGGCGACTGCGACGACGATCGTGCGATGATGGCGAACGCGAAGCGGACCGACTTTTTTGCACATTCGAACGTTTCAACAAAAATGGATGACCTTCAAGTGAAACGCATGCTCAATGCTTACACAAGCGCTTTGCGCTCGGCGGCAATTCATATTCGACGACGCGTGGGTTAGCTTTCATCTTGATGCGAAGCTTTGGTTTGACATCTACGTCGCAGGCAAGTAGGTTCTGGCAGAAAGAAAGCAAGGCCTCATGCTCCCGCATGTTCATGCCAGGAAATGCAGTGCGCGCGTAGGCGCCAAAGATTTTGCCCACCGTGGCAATTCTGCAAACGATCAGGGCATTGCGCCGCGTCTGGTGAAACACATTTCTGAAACAGCTGAAGCATGAACGCCTCCAGCGAGGTAGTACCGTACATGTGTGGAGCACCTGGGTTTCTATGCACAAACAAAGATGCATTCATTAGATACCCGAGGCTCTGCTTAGAGGTAGCGCCCTCCAGAGACGCAAGTACAGTGGTTGCCTTTTCTGCGCGGCGGCGCATTGGTGCAGGATGCGTGAAACAGACGGCAGCAATGTCGCGAACAAAATAGTCCATGCTCGCGTACGACCTCGCCTGGCACGCAGGCCTCGCAATCTGTTCAAGAAGACGCTTGGCGCGCGCAGGGGCCATTGACGAAATCACGCTTTCCAGCTCCGGCTCGCCGTTTCCTCTTCGCTTCTTGTAGTATTGCGAATTGCCGAGCGGAGAGCCCTTGCGGAATTTCGCCAAGCACCTGCGGATTGCAGCCCAACGCGGCGAGACTTTCCCCCCAAACGCCTGCTCTACCTTCAGGGCGACGTGAAATGGATCTCTGCAAATGCACAGGGGCTTCGGAAAATGCGCAAACACGTCGGAGCAATCTAGGGAATCGGGACGATCGCAATGGATTGTGAGGACGCTGCCCACCTCATCCTGCGCCGCCTTCTTGAGCACAGAAAGTACATGAGGGAAGCCGTCAGAAGGTTTCGGTTTGATGACGATGATGATAACGAGCATGTGTTTCAAGATGCTGCTGATGACGATGGTGGTGACGAGCATGTGTTTCAAGATGTTGCAGATGGCGGTGATGATGACGAGCGTGTGTTTCAAGATTCTGCGATGACGATGATGATGGCGAGTATGTGTTTCAAGGTGCTGGTGACGACGACGATGATGACGAGCGTGTGTTTCAATATGCTGCTGATGGTGATGATGATGATCACGACGATGTGTTTCAAGATGTTGCTGATGACGATGGTGACGACGAGCATGTGTTTCAAGATGCTGCTGATGACGATGGTGATGACGACCATGTGTTTCAATATGCTGATGATGACGATGGTGATGACGAGCATGTGTTTCAATATGCTGCGGATGACGATGGCGATGACGAGCATGTATTTCAAGATGCTGCTGATGACGATGGTGATGACGAGCATGTGTTTCAATATGCTGCTGATGACGATGGTGATGGCGAGCATGTGTTTCAAGATGCTGCTGATAACGGTGATGATGTTGACGAATATGTGTTTCGAGATGCTGCTGATGACGATGATGATGACGAGTCTGTGTTTCAAGATGCTGATGATGACGATGGTGACGACGAGCATAGTGATGACGAGTATGTGTTTCAAGATGTTGCTGATGATGATGGTGATGACGACATGCGTTTGGAGCAATGCGTTGTCATAATGAGCTTCACAGGGCACAATCGGGTGGGAAACACAGCCCACCAGACTAAGGGAATAACTCCCTGGGGTAGGCACCCATAGCGGGTTCCATGAATTCTCCTCTCTTTCCCCTTTTTTCTCCTCCTCCTCCTCCTCCGCCTCCACCTCCGTCTGTTCCACCTCACCCCTCTTACTTCCAGCGGGTGGGCGCCGAAACGCGTTCCAGAGGGATATCTTAAGCCTTAATCTCTCGATTCTCCGGCCTCCGGAGGCCCGAAACAAACATTAAACATTGATTTCTTTTGTTGTTGGATTACACATGGAATCTTTTTGTGGTGAACTACACATTGTTTTCTTTTGTGGCGGATTACAAAAAGATTCCCTTTGTGGAGGATTACGAAAAAGGATTTCTTTTGTGGAGGATCACAAAATGATTTCTTTTGTGGCGAATTGCAAAAGGAATCCTTTTTGTGGTGATTTACAACTTGTTTCCTTTTGTGGTGGATTGCAAAAGGATTCCTTTTGTGGTGGATTAAAAAGGGATTCCTTTTGTAGAGGATTACACATTGATTTCCTTTGAGGGTTTTCCTGGAAGTGAACCAGGGAAGAAAAGAAAAGAAAAAAACAAAATCATCGAAAATTAAGAACATTGTAGTTTTCCAATGGATTTCCAATGCTTTGAAGCAAAAGCATACAAACACAGCATTTCCCAAGGCTTTGAGGCCGAAACCATATGAAAACACTTCATTTTTGCATTCGGAATGTCGAAATGCTGTGTTTTTTATATGTTTTGGCTTTCAAACATTGTGAATTCATTGAAACTGTAATTTCCGCAATTTTCAATGATTTCCGGATTGTTTCTTTTCTTTTGTCCCCTGGTTCACTTCCAGGAAAGCCCTCAAAGGAAATCAATGTGTAATCTTCCACAAAAGGAATCCTTTTGTAATCCTCCACAAAGGGAATCCTTTTTGTAATCCGCCACAAAAGGGAACAAGTTGTAATTCACCACAAAAGGATTCCCTTTGTAATTCGCAACAAAAAGGAATCATGTTGTGATCCTCCACAAAAGGAATCCTTTTGTATTCCGCCGCAAAAAAAGAAACAAATTGTAATTCACCCCGAAAAGAATTCCTTTTGTAATTCGCCACAAAAAAGGAATCACTTTAAAGTTTGCTACAAAAGGAAGAATTCTGTATTTCGCTATTTTGAGCAATCGTTTAAGAGATGACGAAAAACATAACCAACAGGAAAGCAAGTACAGAAGAAGTAATAAACCCAAAACCGAGGTGGTACACACACACGGTTTTATCAACCTTACGGGGGGGGGGAGGGGGCCAGGGGAGGGCGGGCGGAGGGGGGGGAGCTCAGAGCCGCCCGCTGTCCTGAGTTAACCAGGGCGCTGGAGGTCTGGAGCCCGGCTGCCCGTCGATCCTCCCCCCATGTCGGCGGGCCAGGAGGGCTCCTGCGGGGACGCCGTCTCGCTCCCGGACAGGGCCAACTCGAAGCGGAACATCCGCTTCAGCGAGCGCGACAGGAGTGGCGGGGTGTGAAGCAACCTTGGCGTGCTTCAGAAAGGGCCTTGCCTTCCAGAGAGGAGGAGGACGAGGAGGAGGAGGAGGAGGAGGAGGAGGAAGAGGTGGTGGAGGAGGAGGAGCAGGAGGCGGAGGATAAGGGTAACCCCAGGATGTGCCAACGATGCTGCAATACACTCCTATCCCAAGCCCCCTCTTCACTGGTCACTGCAGGCATTATTTCCCACTGCGACGCTCCCCATTGAAAGACGGGCGCCCCTCTGGCCCGTAGCTAAGGCGGGGAATCCGTTTTGTTCGAAACGGCATCCATCCTTCCCTCGATCTTCAAGGAATGCAATCAGGTAAAATTCGTAAGGTCAGGAGAGTGACCAGCGAAAACCCTGATCTGAAAAGGAACAGTATTCTATTGTTCATCTGTTATCACAAATTTAAGACGTATGGTAATTAAAGTTGGTGGGGTCAGAAGCGAGAGTCTCATTTTGAAAAGGAGCCACCCTCCAGCCGTATATGTGATACACAGATCCATGATTGTGGTACTACTTGTTTGCAGTAGTTTCAGGGCTGAGGCGAAAGCTCAAAGTCACCGCCCACCATCCTTGTAAGTGGTGAGGCTTGTAACAGACAGGTGTGCGCCGCGCCAAGGTGATAGCCCCATGTTGAAAACCATTCGCCCTCTATCCGTGTAACCGTTGAAAATGTTTGACGGGGGGTCTGCCCGGCTCTATGGCCTGAACCCCGTTTGGAAAACCGTTCGCCTTCCATGCGTGTAAGTGCTGGAATATGGTAAGACGAGCGTGCGCTGCGCCAAGGCGAGATCCCCATTTTGGAAACGACCCACCCTCCATCCATGCAGCTGTTGGATGCTTCAAGCTTCAAGATCGAAAGCGGTGAGGAAGTCCCTGGTGAAGCGCCTTGCCCGCCCAAACGACACGCCTGGTGTTGCACAGGGAGGAGGTGTATGGTAGGAGGAGGGATGGGGAGAAGAGGACGGAAGAGCCAGGAGGCAAAGGAGGAGGTGGAAGACCATCCTCCTCTCCTGCTCGTCACCATCACGGTGACGCGCAGGAGGAGGACCGAGAGGGCAGGGCCGGCGTGCCTCAGCGCGCCAGTCCATCCCCCCTGCGGGCTCCTCGGGGCGGGAGGCGCCGCGGGGCCCCCGAAACGCCCCCGCCGAGGAAGCTGCTGATCCTGGCCGGCATCTCGGGCGCCATGGGGGCCGTGTTCCCCTCGCCGCTGGTCCCCGCGATACTCATCGCCCGCGGTGGCTCCAGCCTGCGCCCCGGAACCTCCTGGAAGCGTCTCGGCAAGGTTCGGAGTCCTGGGCTTCCCTGGAGCTTCTGTGCGTCTGTCTGTGGTTGCTGCGTGCGCGTGCGCCCCACTTCGTAGGGTGTCCTTAGGTATGTTTGCCTCCGGAGGCCTCTGTGGAGGTTCTGGGTGACGTCTCCGAGATCCCAGCGCCACGCAAAAGCATATTGACGCTAGTTCCTCCCCGTTTCTGCATCCAGAGTTCCAGTTCGGGGCCCGGCGGGACCGTCAAAGGACGACCTGCGGTGCGAGGTTTCGAGAGCCCTCGGGGCCCACGTCGCGACGTCGCATGCTTCCGGCTGTGGCCCGCAAGTAGATCGTCAACGACGAGCTTTCGCTCCTTGGAATGGGGGCGAGAGGCCCAGGGAGACCGTCTGAGGTGGCAGGGGGCCGACGGAGCACGACGATCGAGCAGGGCCTCCATGGGCAGAACATCAGCAGACAACACCTGTTTTGCCTCGCAGCGCGGCAGAGGCAGTCCGCACGCGCGCTCGGGCAAGCCGGGTGACGGCACCGCGAATCGTCCGGCAGCAAGGAAGGGAAAAGGGGGGAGGGAAGCGGCTACGAACAAGGGGGGGGAGGGAGAACGCTCACCCAGCGGGAGCCCGCTGCGGAGCGGCCGGGCGGCCAGCTAGTGCTGCATCCCTGGCACCGGGCGCGGGGCGGCTTCGCGGCTACACCCAGGAGCTGGGGCAGAGGCTGCAGCGCGCGAAGAGGAAGAACAACAGGGGACGTGCGGAGCCGGGGCATCGATGTCCTGCTGCAGCACAGCAGCCAGCGGCGACCCAAGCGGCCAGAACTCGGCGGGAGAGGTGCTGGGCGGGCTGCAGGGCGTGGGCACTTCTGCCAGCTGCAGCTTCTCTAGGCGTTTTTTTTGGGGGGGAGGAATCCCGACCAGACCTGCCAGCACAGGCGCGATGCTGCAAGCGGCGGGGGGGCGCAGAAGCGCGCCCACCCAACAGACCCACGATGGCGAAGCTGGGAAGGCGGTGGTGGCATGGGGCCTGCAAAAGAGGGCGGCGGCAGGGCGACCACGGGGACCCGGGTAACACTGATACTGAAAGCAAGGTTATGTCGGGCGTGTCCCCCTACAGGGGGATTTTCGACGAAACATTAAACATACCCCCAACATAGTCCCCCGACTATTTTTGGATTATTTGTTTGATTGTTTTTGGATTTTTTTTGTATTTTTCGTCAAAAATCCCCCTGTAGGGGGACAGGCCCGACTTAAAAGTATGGATGAACGACTTTTCAGGTTCCCCTTGCATCCCTTCCCTTCGGCCCATCCGTGGCCGCTCTTGCTGGCCAGCCCTTGGCCATGGTCATGGCAGCCTTGGCCATCCTCGGACCCGCTTCCGCCTGCTCCAATTCGCGATGGGGCGCAGCCGCGGGGATGCACGCTTGGCAGGACACTTGTGGCCATTCTCGGGCACGCCCTCCTTACCATCCCACTCGAGGGCGGGCGCGGCCCTGAGGACGCGGGCCGCATAGTGCCCTCCCCCCCTTCATCCAGCGACCCACAATGGTCGGGCCACCTGCGACAGCCTGCGGTGTGATGGCGCTATTCAGAAAACGTGATATAAGACGATGTGTCGCATTACCGTTAGGCTTAGGGCGCAAGTGAACCAATTGGTTTTCAACACCCAGTTGTTTGGTGACCCACCCATGTCTGGGTCACCTGTGATATCTTGTGGTGTGAGAGCGCTACAGTCTACAAACAATGTTGCGTGACATGTGTCGGCTCACTTTCAGGCCCAGGCCGCAAGTGAACCAGTTGGTTTTCACCACCCAATTGTCTGGTGACCCACCCATGGTTTGCCACCAATGAGATCTTGCGGTGTGAGAGCACGGAGGAGAGACCGTGATGAGTGGCTTTGTGTCGTCCTGGGTCACCTGTGAGATTTTGCGGTGTCAGAGCGGTAAACCGAATTTCGTGTTGCGTGGCAATGTGCCGTCTCAGGTTGAGGCCTAACATGCAAATGAAGCAGTTGGCGTTCACCGGAGAGTGTTCGAGGAAACCTCCCATGGTTGCGGCGTCTGCGAGACCCTGTGGTGCGAGGGCGCTGCAGATTACAAAAACCGTGTTGAGTGGCAATGATTCGAATCATGTTGAATCCCAGGATGCAATTAAAACAGCTGGTTTTCGACGGTGTGAGATATGTGAGCACCCATGCATTGGAAGCCTGTGAGATCCTGTGGTGTTGAATGGCAATGTGTCGTCCCATGCCGAGGCCCAGAGCGCAAGTTGAACAGTTGGTTTTCAGCACTCAGTTCTTCGTTGATCCACTTATGGTTGGGGCACCGTTGGGATCCTCGGGCGTGGGAGCGGTATATGGGAAACATGTTGCGTGGCAGTGCGCCGCCTCATGTCAATGCCCACAGCGCAAATGAGGCAGGTGGCTTTCACCTTCCAGTTGTTCGGTGACACAGCCGCGGTTTGCCACTCATGAGATCTTGTGGTGTGAGGGCGTTGGGCCGAAAACTTGTTGCATGGCACTGTGCCGCCTTAGGATGAGGCCCAGAATGCAAGCGAAACGGTTGGCTTTCACCACACAGGTTCTGGATGATTACCAAACCATGGTGGTGTCACTTGCGCGAGCCCCCTTGACATGTGCGCGCTATACAAAACACGTATTGCGTGGCATTGCGTCGCCCGATGCCGAGGACCAGGATCCAAGTGAAACAATTGGTTTTGATCCGCCAGTTTTCTGATGACCCACCCATGGTTGGGTCACCTGTGGAATCCTGCCGTGTGAGAGTGCTATGCAAAAAACGTGTGTTGTGGCAATTTGTCGTATCATGTGGGGGGGGCCCAGAATGCAAGTGAAGTAATTGGTTTTCACGTCACCGGCCCATGGTTGGGTCATTTGTGAACTCTTGTGGTGTCAGCCAAGAACGCAAGTGAAATGGTTGATTTTCAACCCCACGTGGAGAGTGTCCAACCACTGGTTGGGGCACCTGTGAGACCCCTGCGATGCGAGAGCGTTGTTTAGAAAACGTGTAGTGAGGCAATGTGTCGTCTCATGCTGAGGCCCAGAATGCAAGCGAAACAGGTGGTTTGCTGTATCCAGTACGACCCACCCATGGTTGGGACAACTGTGAGATCGTGTTCTGTGAGGGCGCCGACAAGAACAAGTGTTGCGTGACAATGAGTCGCGGCATGCCGAGGCCCAAACTGCAACTGCAGCATTTGGTTTTCAGCACCACCCGCGGCTGGGCCACCGGAGGACGAAGAAGAGGGAGAGGAGGAGGAGGAGGAGGAGGAGGAGGAGGAGGAGGAGGACAAGGAGGAGGCGGAGGAGGAGGAGGAGGAGGAGGAGGGGGGGGGGAGGCGGGGGAGGAGGAGGAGGAGGAGGAGGAGGAGGAGGGGGAGGGGGAGGAGGACAAGCTAGGTGCGCTCGCGTCATATCTGACGTCCTACCCCTCCCTCCCATCCCTTACCATGGCGCTGATTTTCTCTATCCGCGGACGCGTGTCGTAGCGGACCTGTGGCTCCGCGCGCGCGTGCGTAGTGGGTGGTGGTGCACGTGCGTGCGTGCGTGCGTGTAGCGTTGGCCTTGGAGTCTAGAGCTGCCATGTGCGCTGCGTCGAGCACCTGGGGCACGACCTTGAGGATGTGGGCCAGGCAGGGCGCCCTTGCGCATCCTGGCCGCAGCAATGCGCTCCGCGTCGCGCGACTGGGTGGGGGGCGCCACTGCGGGTGCGGGGCAGGCAGAGTGTCTTGGCGCATCCCTGGAGCGTCGCACATGCGGGGGTCGCCGCCGCATGATGTGGGCCAGGCAGGGCGCTCGTGCGCTTCCTGGCCACCGCAGTGTGCCCCGTGTCGCACACTTGAGAGGGTCGCCTCCAGGGATGCGGGCTAGGTCGGACACCCCTGCTGCCCTCTGCCGCCCAAGTAAGCACCGCGCATGTCCATTGGGATGCGGGGCGTTTCGAGGGTAACCCGTCCATCCCTGCGTTTGGCCAAGGCATGTCCTTTGCGCCAGTTCGGCAAGGATGAGAATGTATCAGGGTGCCCTTGCATCCTTGGGTATTCGGCCGTGCCCCGCTCGAACTGTGTTGACACGGCCTTCAAGGCCCTGGCACCCGTATCGTGTACTCTTACTATTAGTTGTGACCGCATTAGATGTTATACCCTACGTCCTAAGTGGGTCCATCGCTTTCGCAGACAATCCCCCACTGCTTGTCCTCCCCCTCCTCGCCGCATCCTACGAGCCCTATCCTCCACTAGTCCGCCCTATTACCACTTGCCCTTCCACCACTCCGCCAGACACCACTTTTCCAGTCCCGCGAGGCTCCCGCCAAGCCGCACCTGCCATCGGAAAACAACTACACTTATCGGGTGTCGTGCCATTCCCACTCCACCAGTCCCACCGGCGCCGTCCGACCCTCCAGGCTGCCCCTGCCAGGCTGCGCCCTCCATCGGAGGACCTGGCTATCTGCCAGGTGCACCGGCCAGGCCCTCGGAGAACCATGCCACTGATCGTCCGTCGTGCCCTTCTCCCTCCACCAGCCCTGGCCGTTGCCTGCCTCCGGTGGCCTTCGCTGGGGCCCGCGTCGGAACAGACACGCTCAGGACAAAACGCACTGGCTTCAGGGGGCCCCGTACAGAGAAACACGGGGTGTTTGGGGTCGCTGATTATACATCTGATGGACCTGTTTTCCACCACCACCACCACCATAAGTTGGATGGGGGGAAGGAGGAGGAGGAGGAGGAGGAGGAGGAGAAGGAGGAGGAGGAGGAGGAGGAGGAGGAGGAGGAGGAGGACGAAGAGGAGGAGGAGAGTAGGAGGACGAAGAGGAGGAGGAGGAGGAGGAGAAGGAGGAGGAGGAGGAGGAGGACCCCCTCCACCTCCAACTTATGGTCCTTATGGTGGTGGTGGTGGTGGAAAGCTGGCCCATCAACATTTCATGTGGAGGGTCTCGCCAGTCGCCTTCGGGGGCACGCCGCTCCCCGGCCGCGGGTGGGGGCCACCGCGGCCCGTCGCGGAGCTCGACGCCCTGGTCGGCGACTACCCCGTCATCCGCAGGCAGGGCGAGCTGAGGCCGAGGGGCGCGCAGCACAGCCGTCGCCGGCGTCCACCGCCGACGTCGCCGTCGTCGGCCCGGAGGTTTTTGGGGCTTCCGCGGAGGCTCTCGTGGCCACGGCCGAGAGTCGACCTCGAAGGGCTGGCCGGGGACTGCCCGTGGGAGGGAGGGGTCTGCGGCGGGTCTCGAGCGGATTCTGCTCGAAGGCAGGCCGAGCGGGGGCGCGGCCTCCCGGCCAGGCAGCGGGGGCGGGGGGCTGCAGAAGGGATCGGCCCCTTCTCTGCGTCCATTTATCAGGAGGGAAAAAAACACACAGACACAATTAATCGTCCACTCCCAGGAAAATACAGGAAAGTATGGGAAGTGGGGGGGAAACAGAAACCCAGAAAATATGGGAAAATATGGGGAGTGTGTATTTATTTGTGTGTCCCAGGGCCCCTTCAATTTGGATCCGATCTATGCGGCTCGATCTCGATTGCGCCCGGCTCGATCATATTCGGCTCCGATGTTCCGACGATCCGATGCGGACCGACGCTTGCACGGCGCTGCATTGCATCCTGGCGCAGCCGATCCGATGCGACTTCGACTCCATGCCGATGCAGCCCGGTCCGACTCACATTTCGATTCGATCCGATCTAAAACAAAAGACGAAGACCAAGAAAATCGATTCCATCCGATCTACCCTCCCTGGGAGCTCTCAGGAAGGCTTCTCAGAAGGCAGGGGGGGGGGTCCGAAGAGGCGGGGCGCCTTCTCTCAGAAGGCCTCCCTCTCGCCCTCTGCCCCCCCCCCGCGCGCCGCTGGTGAGGGTCACCGCGCTGGAGAAGCTGATCGTGACCACGGCCTCCTCGAGCGTATCGTACGTTCTCTACGGAGCGATCTCGTCGAAAACCTTCATGAAGGAGACCGAGGGCTTGGGGCCCGATCCGACCGTATACGAGTACCGGCAGGTCTTCTCGGCGGTCATCCTCGGCCTGTTCAGCGGTGCGTTTGGGCTGCTCGGCTTCTCAATGAACTTCCTCGCGAAGAAGTGCGTTCAGAAGCTGCACCAGAGACTGAACCGGCTCGGCAGAGAGCGCTTCGGGATGCAGCATCCCGCCCGCCAGCTCGGAGGTCAGCTGGTTTAGAATCAATCAAACATTCACTATGTGTAACTTAGGTTTTAGTTCACATGTGTGTACGTGTAAATCTGCATGTAGGTGTAGAAATATAAGCATATTACAGCGGTCGTTCTTCATGTGTTAATCCTCTTACGCTGCTCCGGTCTCTTTATGGCTCCCATGTGTTTCAAGTTTGAGAGGTGCGCACTCCATGCCCATTTCTGGGAATTCCTCGCACTGTAAGTCCCTATCACTTCAGAACCTTGCTCGGATTCCTAGACTCGAGATGCGCGCCGTGCTGCGCAACGTAATTACTCAATTGGGGCCCTTTGTGCGCACTCCATGTCGATTTCCGTGAATTGCTTACACTGTAAGTCTTCATGGACTCAGAGTCGTGCTCGGATCCCTGGGCTCAAGATGCGCGCCGCGCTACACAACGTAATTGCAGTGGAGACCCATGCCAAGAGACACCCTGCTGGCCTCCAGGGTGCCCTGGGTCTCTTGGGTCCCGAGGGTCTTGCCATGGAAAGCGTGCCGTTCCCTCGCCGAAAAACGATGGAAGTCCTGGGGTCTCAGGGTTGGGTTTCTTGCAGAAGGTTTCTTGTGGACTGGCCTCCACGGTAGGCCTCTTGGGAGTGTCGCTGCGCGGATCTCGGTGGGGCCTCGCCTCGCGCATGCGCGCTTCTGTTTTGGCAGAGCTGTTGCAGTTTCGCGTGCCTCCGGGCAGCCCAGCGGAGCGGCCGGCGAGGGGGATCCGTTGCCGATGCGTCGCTGTCGTCGCAGTCGCATCGCCGATGCATCGACAGTGCATCGGCGATGCGGCGCGATCCTCCGACCCCATCTCGGAGAAGAAAAATCGCCATACACGTTAACTTTTGGCGCTCCGCACGGATTTCTTGGATCCGCGCCGGGCCCCCCCGGCGGCGCCTCCGGCGCAGCCCCCGGCGCGCTCCGCGCGCGAGGGAAGGGGGGTCAGCGCAAGTCCCAGAAATCTGCTCGGAGCGCCAAAAGTTTATGCCCATGCCGCGTTCTTCTCCTTCTAGAACTGCGGGCGCTTCCCGCGTCTTTGGGGGCTCCAGCGGAGCGGCGCGCTGGGCGGATCCGAACGAGGCCTCGCCATCTCAGCTGCTGCCAAAGGTAGGGCTGTGGCCATTTCTGTGTCCTTGGGGCCTCCAGCGGAGCAGCGCACATCAACGAGACTTGGCCTCCCTGGGTGTTGCGGCACACAAAAAGCTGCCGCCAGCTCTCGTGGGCCATTTTTGGGTGCAGCGCCAGGCGAGCGACGCGGTGCTGGCTCCCAGGTTGGCCACTGCTCCTGCGGGTGCTGGCAGACGTCTTTGGGCGCGCCGAGTGCACACCCTCTCGGGATACTGCGGAGGAACTTGCCGCGGCCTTCTGGTGCCATCCTGTGTGTGTGTGTGTGTGTGGGGGGGGGGGGGCACTGTCGGTAGCCGCGTTGCGCCCGTAAAGAGAACCTATACGGCTTCCACGGCGGCCAGTATAAGGAGGTCTGTCACTCATGATTCACGTGGCTTCGCCATTCCGCCGACCCCTAGCGGAGTAGAGACGTCCAGGGCGTTCGGTAGGCTATGTTGGAGCTGGAGTGGCTTCGTGTTTTTTCAGCTCGCGAGGGTTTAACTGACTCGCAGGAGCTTCTTGAGGGGCTGTTGGGGGGCATTCTGGGTAGCTTTCTGGGACCTCGTTTTTTGGCGGGCGGAGCCTCCAGGGGGCTCCTGGGAGGCCTCTGGGGGCCTCTTGGGGGCGCATCGGGGGTCTCTTGGGGGCTTCTGGGGTCCCTTGGAGGCGCCTCGGGGGTCTCTTGGGAGCGTCTCTGGGGCTACGAGGGGGGAAAGGCTCGAGATGACAGGTCGCATTGATCCTCTTGTGCCTTTCTTGGGGCCATCGTCGGCCGTCTTAGATGCCCCTGTGGCCGTCTTGGGGCCCCCTTGGGCCTTCTTGGGGCTGTATTTGGCCGTCTTCGGGCACTCTTGGGGGCCCCATGGGCTGCTTGGAACGAGCTTTGGGGCCCCTTGGTCCGCACTGGACGCTGTCAAGACGAGAAAGGCGAGTATGTCGAAGATGTATGTTTTCCTCGGGGAATGGGACGATCTTTGCGTCGTGAGGCCCTTTCCGCGGTCCTATGGAAGCACTCTTGGGTCGTCCTGGGGGCTTCGTGGGCTGTCTTGGCGCCTTCTTGGACCGTCGCGGGTTACCCTGGGTTGTCGGGCTGTCTCGACGCTCTCCTGGACTGCCTCGGCGCTCTGTTTGGACCCTCTTGGGCCGTTTTGGGGCTCTCTGGAGGCTCCAGAGAGCCCCTGGGGTGCGCTGAGGAGCTCGTCCCCCCCCCCCCGGCGGGAATGGGACTTTTTTGACCACTGGGGAGGGGGAGAGGGGGATGGGGGACACCCGAATGTCTGACACGCCTTTTCCCCACCGCTGAGCGGAAGTCGCGGACTTCACAGAGTGGCCTCGAGCAGTGAGATTTCATGGGCTCCAAGGCATGCTGGTGCCGGTGGTCGGTGGCCTCGCCTGGGGGCTCTGCGCGGTCTTCTTGCCGCTCACGCTCGGCGGAGGTGAGAACCAGATCAAGGCCTTCAGATGCCTGTATCTGCCGATGGCATCAACGATGATTTCGGATTGCGATCTGCGGTGTTGGACGATCGCGAGATAGTTGATCGCGTTGTTGGCTCGGTCTGGTTGAGCGACTGGCCCTGCCCCGGACACATGGCCAGCATTGGATCGTGGTGGTGGTTCCTGTCGTCGTGGTAGGGGCAATGATCAGATTACGTGATCGGGAGTCGCGATCAGCCCAATGATCAGCCGGCCGCACAGTTCCTGATCATGAACTACCGGGCCATGGGCGCTCCGTTCCTCTGCCTGCTTGCGTTTGCAAAGATGACCACGCTCTCCATCAGCACAGCCACCGGCTTCGTCGGAGGAAGCATCTTCCCGATGATCTTCGCTGGCACCCAGATGTGCCAAGCACACCCCCCTCTTGGCCATCCCCTCCCTCTGCCCCAGTACCCCCCCACCCCTCCCCTGCAAGATGCGTAAAGATTTGGGAGGGATGCCAAACTGGAAGTTGGTGGGTGCGATGGGGATCTCCCAGGCACGTGCCTTGGCATGGCCAGTGTCGACCTGAACCCGACGGGGCCCGCAGCCGACAGCTGGGCGTCCATCTTCTTCTGTGGATGGCCTGCGGCGCTCGCCGTGCCCTGCATGGCCGCGGGGCTGCCGTGCGCGTTCTCGCCGGCAATCATCGGCATGGTCGTCATCGTGCTCCTGATGATGAAACTCCAAGCGATGGCGGTGTCGCACGTGTTCGTCGCCAGCGCCGCGTCCTCGGTGCCCCCTGCTTGCGCAAACAGGCGGTCGCGATCGCGGCCGTCTTCGGCTGCGCGACCGCCGAGTGTGCGATCGGATCGGCCCGATCACGCGGTCGGTCCAGCCCAAGTTGGTATACAGCGGGAGTGGTGTCACCAACGATGGGGGCCGATCGTTCCATCTTGGGACGATCCTCGTGACACGCCAAGGCTGTGTCGTTCACCGCAGTGTGCGGCCTCGGCCTGAGCCAGAGCTTGGTGCTGGGGCGGTCGGCCGTCGTGAGGCACGCGCCCGCGGAGGCGGGCAAGAGCCGACGATGAGTGTCGCCCGGCTGGACTCGCTGCCTCCTCCCCGATCCCCTTTCTCGATTCTCCTCCTCCTCCTCCTCCTCCTCCTCCTCCTCCTCGTTATCGTTCTTGGGGGCCTTTTCCAGGACTCGTGCGCGGCCAGCCCCCCGAATGAAGCCCCCCCAATGAGGGGGAAAGCCTGGAGGCCGTCTTCGACTTCCGGCGCGCACTGGCCATGGGCGAGGCGCACGTGCGCCGGGTCGTAGCCGCCGGTCAGTCAGGTGTCGTCCTTGCTGGCGAAGGGCCACAGGGACCATCTGTCCCAAGATCTAGTATCCGTACGCAGCTCCGCATCGCCCTTGGACAGTGGGCGAGTACAGGCAAGTTTGGGTGTACAAATCACCTGTCTCAGAGCAGAGCTGGACGGGAGCTTACAGGCCGTGCTCTCGTCGGCTGTTGTCTTCCCGTCTTGAATTAATCGGAGGTCTTGCGTTGCGGACGCTCACGGGAAGAGGCTCGGTGTTCTTCCCCTCCTCCCCCTTCACGGGATAGGTCTGCTTAGCGAGGGGGGACGGAGGGGGCTGCAATGGGTGCGTGTTGTCGGATGGCCCTCCCGCTCGATCGGGAGCCTCCCCCGGGTCCGACAACGCACACACATATCCATAGTCAGTCAGCCAGTCATCCTCCCTCCGACCACCCTATGGGTATGTGTGTGCTGCTCGTTGGTCAATGCATGGCCGTCTTGCTTGCTTGCTTGCTTGCATGATTGGTCCACGACGCGTGCCTCGACGAACCGGCGGGCCAGGAGCTCCTCCCCGCCCGACCCAGAGGCTGTTCGGACCTTCAAAATCAGGTCCATCCCAGTGCGCATTGAGAACCCCATCCCAGTGCGAAGTGAGAGCCTCATGTTGCAAGGTCCGAAACTACGGCCAGGTCGGCGAGAAATCCTCTGGGCGAGAGCGGGCCGTGCGGGCCTCTTGCCTGGAAGGTGCACCAGCAATCGCGCGTTTCGCACCTCCAGCTCCAGGCGCCAGGGGTGCCCTGCGGGCGACGCTCTGCCGCAGCCCTGCCACGTTGAACGAAGAGCCGCCCGCCTCCGCGGGCGTGGGGGTCCCGCACCGCACCGTTCGGCGTGCTGGCTTTCATCATGCGGCAGCCCCCGTGGGGCTCTCGCCTCTCCAGCGGCCGCCTGAGCCAGAGGCGCCACGCGAGCCAGAACGGCAGCAGGAGATCTGCTGCCGTCCATGCGTGCTCCTTTTCTTGATTCTGCTTTTGCCGTCGCTCCCCCTGCTCCGCCCCCGTTCCTTGTTCCTCCTTCGTGTCCTCCCCCTCCCCTTTCTTCCTCCTCCTCTTCCTCTTCTCCTCCTCCTCCTCGTCCGTCCACTTCCTCTTCCCGCTTTCCCCCACTCTGGCCTCTTTGTTCCCACCCCCTCCTCATCCACTCGCATCCTCCCTCCGCCCTCCCCCTCCCCTCCTTTTATCCCCGCCCCCTCCGCCCGCCCTGCCTCCCCTCCTCCATCCTCCCCCTCCCTCCGCTTTCCCTCCTCCTCCTTGCACTCTCCCCCCTTCCGTCCCTCAGCCCCGCGAGGAGGAGGACAGATGGATGTGAATGTGGTGCTCGCTTGCTTCAACGCTCTACCACTTCTCACGCCAGCAGCAAGCCAGCGGGTCTGCTGTGTCGCAGTCATTTCCAGAACATGAAGATTCGCACTGCCCAAACGGCAGAAGTCCTCTTGTTCAATGACTCGTCCAAACAATGTGTGCAGAACCTTGGATGGCCGTGCAGTTCGGTCATACCGTGCAGCACGTGTAGGAATTAATGAACTGTTGCTATGCCCCGCATGCCCCCCTTGAGTACCGTACCTCAGAAAAGTAACGCCTCGACGACGGCATTCAGCTTTCCATTATGGTGTCATGTTTAATGGGCTACGATCGTATTTGTAGACTAGACGCTGCAACGCCAGACCCGCGATCAACACATCTGAACCGTGTGGACGATATTTTTGAAGCAAGCCAACAATCCACCTGATCATTCCGTCTTGCTTCAGCACCTTTGAAAAGGTTGCCGAGCATGGTTATTGTGTTCCCAAGCATCTTAAGCGTTACCCAGTGGACTTTTGGCAGGCCGTTGGTGGCAGGATCTTTGTAGCACGAGAACAGTGACGGTCGGAGCCTCATGATAAAAAACTCTGGCGAGCCACAGTGAAAGACGCCATTTGACATCAAAACCGACAACGTTGCCACCAGAAGAGACTGCACCATTCCGAGGCACAGGCAGCGTAGGAGATCGGTAACGAGGCTGTGAATACCAAGACCAGGGATCTTGAACAATGGATCCCTGTGCGAAGTAACCGTGTCTGAGCCGAATTGCGCCAGACTATTGCGCGCGCAGGGAATTCCTTGATGCTGTCGAAACGGAAAGTGTTCCCTAGCACGTAGTTCGGCTCCAATTTGTCGTCAGCAAATAGCAGTGCCCCGCCGACATCAACGTTTATGCGTAGTGCGCGTCCGTAAGCACGTTTTTGTGTGCGGCGATCGAACAACAGCGTTGTCCTGAGTCTCGCGTGCGTGGCGCGATCAGGGATGACAACGTGCTGCTCGCACAAAGAACACATGCGTTCGCAACCCTCATGTGCTGATGCGCTCCACGGCAGCCCGTCCTCCATCGATGCGTCGACGTCGCGCCAGCCATTTCTTAACACAAGCAGTTGCAACATGGATAAAGCTTTGTTGCATAATGCGAGTGATACGTTGTCCGACCAGTCGCTCTTGACCCACAGCAGGGCACATCTCCACGACACTGGAGAGTCTGCACGATCACAGTTTGGGTCGTCTCTCGGCCAAGGTTCCGTCGTGGCGGCTGGGAGGAACACACACCACGTGAGGTTGCCGCGGTTGGCCACTGAAGGAATTTAGATAAGGCGTGCATTCTGCGCCGTCCTCTGCACCCGCAGGTGCAGAAGACTTTTTTCAGTGCGAAACTCCATCAGTGTGCGTTGCAATCGGGATAGGCGGCTTCTGGCCACTTGCGCGCGCAGCTCTGGTATCCACCTCAACTCTGGCCTCCTCAGCCCAACCTACACGTTGTTCATGTCGAATTGTTCGAAAGTTATTGATTTTTTGGGGGAGCCAAGATCCTTTCATTTCTACATGTTCTATCCTGGGCCTCTTCCTGGCCACTAGGGGACCAGGAACAATTAGAAACGAGCACAATTAGAAATGAGCACGATTAGACATGAACGACGTGTACCTCCACCCCCGCAAGCCTTCCAAACCCAACTCATTTCAGCGTCTGCAAACTCTTGAAACCCAACGTACTTCTACTCCCGCCAGCAGCCCCAACCGCCACCTAAGACGGCTTCTAACAGGCCCTCGCCCCCCAGGACTGCCCAAGAAGGCTCCGGGACGGCCCAGGAGGGCTCCAAGACGACCGAACATGCTTTCAAGCCTCATAATTTCTTTGGTGCGCACCGAAGCTTGGACAGTCATCGAGTCCCATGTCGCCGCATCCTCTACTTTTCGACCCACGCCTCGTCTCATCCCAACTCTGACTCCTTCTACTGGGATGACCGTGGGGGGTTCTAAGTGGATAGGTGCGTTACAAGTGGATGCCAAGGTGGGGTATTTCTGGCCCAACCTGGCTTATAAGTGGGTTGCAAGTGCCCCGAGTGGCTTAGGGGGGTTAGGTAACTCCGCTAAGTGGGCGGAGCCCACTTCGCCCGGATCGATAACCCCCCCGAAGCCACCTGGGGCATTTGCAACGCACACCTATAAGCCAGGTTGGGCCAGATATAGCCCACCTTGGCATTCACTCAGAAGCCCCCACGGTCATCCCATTGTTCCTCCTCCCCCTCTCCCTCGCAACGGCTGAAGTGGCGGGGCGCCTCCAGGAACGGCCGACTGAACATGCCCAGGTGCTGGGGCCGCCGCGGTGGCCCCGTCCAGCCCGCGAGGCAGGCGAGGCAGGAGGGCCCCCGCCACCCCCGAGGGGGCCTTGGAGGACGACGAGGCACTGAGAACGACGACGACGACGACGACGAAGGAACCGAAACGAGGGAAGCTAATCAAGTTTGACAAGAGCCCACTAATTGGGGGAGCAGCAGGAGGAGGAGGCGGAGGAGGAGGACGGGAGGGAGGGATCATGACGACGCCGCCGATTGTTCTGGAGCAGCAGCCTTCGGGCGTTAGGCGCAGATCCACACCGCTCAGCCCTAGAGTGAATGAATGCAATTTGCGTCAGAGCCAAGCCCACACTCAATATATTGCTGTATCCAGAAAAGTACCTTCCCCGCCGACCCTTGCAGCCCCGTCGTTCCACACCACACCCGCAGAAGGGCCCGTGCATCTACAACACAGTGTGCTTGCGGGGGCAAACTAGACAAATCAATCATCGTCACGCTACGCCTCGCGTGCGACTTGCACTTTCGAGCAGGCCGTGAAGATCATCAAGAGTATCAGCCATCATCGGTCAATCATCGTTCATTGAATGAAGGACCATTGGACAATATGTCGAATGAGGATTTCGTTGGTGTTGTTTGGATTTCTTGAGGGAGACGTGATGTTTTTTCACCTGAGCGATGAGGCCGATCTTATTCGGTGGACCTTAACATAAAACCCGACCATCACGATCATTAAATAATCTTCAACAAACATCAGCACTAACATTATAGACGTTTCGAAATCATCAAGCGTCATCGGTGCCCTGTCGCCCTCGATCGTTCCTTCGCAGCCCTGAGATGCGAACAAGTTTGACATGTGTCCTCGCCCCCCCGCCGTCCTCAGCTCTAAATGCCTTCCCGATTGTTCTAAGAATTGTTCGTGCGACACTTGGCAGGCCCTGCCCCACATTAAAGCTCATACCATAAGACTCGCAAGGCTACATGTAGCCGAAACTGCGGCGACGCCCGCTGTACTCAAACTTTGCAGGTGTGGAAAGCTGCACTCAAGCGGTGGAGCGTGCCAAATCGCGCGCCAGCCTCATGGAGACAGGCGCTGACTTCTCACGAGCGGTCTCCTTGATCGCGCCATCCAGC